AAAAAAAAAAAAAAAAAGATACACAAAAGCCAAACTCCATTTGGGAAATGCAAATGACCAAGAATGGTCAAAACAACTTTGAAAAGTCAGGGACTTACATAAAGCAATCAAGACATTGTGGCCAGGAACAGTGGCACATGCCTGTAATCCCAGAGGCTGAGGCAGGGGTGAGGATGAGGTGGGGATAAGGGGTTGCTGAGACAGGAGGATCTCAAGTTCAATAGCATAAGCAAAAGCAAGGTGCTAAGCAACTCAGTGAGACCCTGAGTCTAAATAAAATACAAAATAGGGCTGGGGATGTGACTCAATTGGTCAAGTGCCCCTGAGATCAATCCTTGGTACCCTCTTCAAAAAAAAAAGACACTGTGTCATAGTAAAGAATCAGTGTTACAGAATGGACTCCAGGGGCTGGGGATGTGGCTCAGGCGGTAGCGCACTCGCCTGGCATGCGTGCGGCCCGGGTTCAATTCTCAGCACCACATACAAACAATGATGTTGTGTCTGCCGAGAACTGAAAAATAATTATTAAAAAAAAAAAAAGAATGGACTCCAGAAATAGATCCATATGTGTATGATTTATTGAATTTTGACAAAGATGCCAAGATAATTTGGTAAAGAAAGGATTATCTTTTCAGTGAATGGTGCTAGAATAAGTGGATATTCATAGGAAAAAATATGGGATGTTGATGCATCTTAGGTAGTGGCAGAGCCTAGCCTACCACATGTGAGGCCCTGGACTCAATTCAAATACCATAAACAAACAAATGAGCAAAACTTATCCATTCTTCACATCACAAACAAAAATAACTAAATAAAAACAGATCACTGACCCAAATAAAGTTAAAACTATTAAAACTTCTGGAAGGGCCTGGGGATGTGGCTCAAGCGGTAATGCGCTCGCCTAGCATGCGTGGGGCACTGGGTTCGATCCTTAGCACCACATAAAAATAAAATAAAAGGCAGAATAGAATAGATATTATGATTGCTGTATGTATATAGATGACTCTATGACCAGTGTGATTCTGCAATCTGTACAATTAGAAAAGTGAGAAATTATACTCCAATGATTCAAATGTATGAATTGCCAAGATCATTGTAATGTCATGTGTAGCTAATTAAAAAAATAAAAATAAATAAATAAATAAATAAAATAAAGATGTTAAAAAAAAACTTCTGGAAGAAAATGTAGTAAAAATCACTGTGATAACTTCTGGAGTTAAGATTTCTTAATGCAACACCTAAAAAAAAACACAATTCATAAAAAGAAAAAAAAAGTGATGAACTGAAAATTCTCAAAACAAACAAAAAATGTGCTCTTCAATAAACACTGAAGAGAATGAAAAGATAAGCCTGGGAGAAAATATTTGCAAATCATAAGTCTGTTAAAGAAGTTATATCCAGAATACATAAAGAACTCCCAAAATTCAACAATAAGAAAACTATCCACTTTCTAAATAGATAAAAAGATTTAAAATGGCATTTCAGTAAAGCAAATATACAGAATGCAAATAATCAAAAATATGTTCAACATCATATTTATTAGGAAAGTACAAACTAAAACCACAATAAGGTACTACTATTCCTATGTTTACATATGAACACATGACCAGTGTAACTCCAAATCGTGTTCAACCACAAGAATGGGATCCTAATTAAAATAAGTTATACTCCACATTTGTATAATATCAAAATACACTCTGTCAAGCATATTAAAAAAGCAGAGCAAAAAAAAAACTACAGGGCTGAAGATGTGGCTCAAGCGGTAGCGTGCTTGCCTGGCATGCGTGCGGCCCGGGTTCGATCCTCAGCACCACATACAAGCAAAGATGTTGTGTCTGTCGAATACTAAAAAATAAATATTAAAAAACTTCTCTCTCTCTCTAAAAAAAAAAAAAAAAAAAAAAACTAAAATTTTACATACCCGTGAAAATGTCTAAAATTAAAGATTGACCACACCAAGTGTTGGGATAGATTTGAAGCAAAACTTTTGTTGGCTGGTGATGGAAAAGTAGATATTACAATCCCTTTGGGAAATAGTTTAGAAGTATTTTATTTATGTATTTATGTATTTACACACACACACATATATGAGGATTGAACCCAGGGTTGCTCAACCAATGAGCCACATTCCCAACCTTTTTATTTTTTATTTTGAGACAGGGTCTCACTAAATTACTTAAGGACTCACTAAGTTACTGAGGCTAACCTTGAACTTGCAATTCTCTTATCTCATCCTCCTGAGTTGCTGGGATTACAGGCATGCACACCACACCCAGCTTTAGAAGTATTTTTAAAAATATAAAATACATGACTATTATGGGACTAAACCATCTTACTCTTATTTACCCAAGGGAAATGAAAACACATCCTTTACAAAGATTTTAAAATGTTCATAGCAGCTTAATTTTTGATGGCCCAAAATAGAAAATAATCTAAATATCTATCCATTCATACAATGGAATATTACTCAGCAATAAAAAATGAACTATTGAAACATGCAATAGATGGAATAATGTTGAAATAATTAACTTGCCAAGTAAGGCAAGATAATATAGAAATATGTACTGTATAATTCTACATCTGCGATAATATAAATTATTTTATAGTGACACAAATTGGAAATCAGTGATTGTCTGAAGTAGATGAAATGGGGGTGGGGAGGTTATGGAAGGGGTCATTTCAAAGGGGCATTAGGGAACTTTTAGGGGTGATATGACCATTACTTCTCTTAATTGTGATAGGTATATACAAATGTCAAAATGCAGCAAATTATTTTTTCAAATATGTGCTATTTATTATATATCAGTTATACCTCAATAAAGTTGGGAAAATAGGGGGAATAAAGAGAGAGGGAAATAAATTACCAAAAGCATAAAAGGCACCTAATTCTGAACACTGGGAGCTTCTGAATTTTGTCTTGGTCTCCTTTCTTGCTGTCCAGATGCCAGTGCTGGGTTTTTATCCACACCCTACTTTCATTAAGCACAAAAGTGATAGGAAAGCTGTGTATGGGGAATGAATTATGGACTTAGGGAGAAAATGAGGGCAAGCAATGTTCATTCTGTAATTACAAACTGTTTGGCATAACAAAAACTTCTAGGTAGTGAGATTCTAGGTGATTTTACTTTTGTTTACTTAAATTTTTCTGTGCTTTCCAAATTCTTTACAAGCATTTCTTCGCTCTTTGGAGGAAAAAACAGTTTTTAAAAGAACCACTTTAAATTCTCCACTAAATGAAGAACTATTCAAAAAGGAAACCAAAGAGTTTTGTTTTGTTCTTTAACTCTGATCATTGATGAACAGCATAAGAGCATGCACACAAATTGGAGCATTAATTTAGGTAAAAGAACAGGGAAACTTCATTTATAAAGGCTGATGATGGATAATTCACATTATATGTAGCTATCAAAACCTCAAAAATGGATTTTCTAAATTCTGAATGTCACTGGTTGGCACTGAGGGGGCCACCTAGTTAAAAAAAAAAATCTTAATGTTTTAATTTATTTTCTGCCTTCTGGATTGAAGAAAGAGCTCTCAAATGATAAGGCAAAGTCTTATATGGATTCTAGGAGGTCTGGGCAGTGATAAAGGTTCCTCTCCTCTAGGGCTTACAAGCCTGACAATGAATCAAGCCTTCTAAAACAAGATGAATGCTAGTAGAGAAAGGATTTCTTAACCTTGCTTGTCTCAAGCTGTTAGCATCAGACATTAATATTATTTTAACAAGTGTAGAAAACTAACAGGAGGATTAGAAGTGCCAAATGCTGACAAAATGTTTCTTTTAAAATACCCTCACAGGTCAAATTAGATGCAAAATTTTTCTTATCAATTTGAATACAAATCCTAGAGTCAGTCCTCCTTGGTCTCTAAAAGAATAAATCAACTTCTAATGATCATATAACTCTTAATTCTAATTTTTCACTTTTATTTCAGAGAAAAAAGTAAATAAAATACTACAAACATACCACAGAACAGAACACTTACATGTCTTGGAGTGTTCATGTGACAACATGTAATTGGCGAGAGGTGGTGTGTAAGTTAAACACTGCAAAGCAGCATTGGCAAAACAGGTATTGCCCAAATTCTGGAGCCCAGCGCCAACTCTGTGAGTTTGTTGCCACTTAAGACAAATCTTCTCAGATGGAAAAAGAACTTTTTGTGGAGGAGCAATGCCATCACCTAGGGCTGGAACAATAAACAGCAAAGATTTTAAAACAAAGCTTTGCATGGTTCTAAAGCTAAATACATAGCAATACTTGATCAAACCTGAATCTGACCACGATTCTAAATCACATTACCAGCTTGCCATAAATACAGCGCAGAACTGGACATTTTAAAAGAGAGAACCCAGAATGAGAGAATGATTGATCTCTTTAATACACAACTTGCAAATGATAAAAGGAAGTTTAAACATATCAACCAAATGCAAAGTGTAGATTTTGTTTGGATGTTGTTTTCAACACTAACTATAGGGAAAAAAAAAAAAGATAACCAGGGAAATTTGAATATTGATTGGATTTTTAATATAAAGATGTTTTAATTTTTAGAAAATAATCCTTTTGATATACACACTAAATATTTACAGGTAAATATTAAGTATTGGACTTACTTTAAAATATTGGAGAAGGGATCAGTGGGTAGAGGTATAATTGACCATGAGTTGATATATGTCAAAGGTGGCTAATAGCTACGTGAGAGTTCATTATAATTACTCTTAAATCTACTTAAAATTTTTCATAAAAATCCAAGTTTTTTTTAAATAAACACAATCAACAGAAAATATAAGTCAATTCCCTATCACATTGGCCACATATGCTTACATGCAGCACCATGTCCATCTCTACCATCACACATCACTAATTGAGCCCTCACCAGGTCATAGTCTCACCATTCTAATGCTGGTACTAATGTCCCCATTTTACCACTAAGAAAACAAGTTTTAAAGTCAGGCTTCTGGGCACCACTACATGTACTTGTAAGTATACTAAACATGTCCGTGAAAGGTTTGTGTCCATTATTAAAACTTATAAACAGACTACTAGTAAGTAACTGTGCTAATAGAACAAGTGCAAGAAACCACTTATTTAGAAAAGTTCAAAATAATCAATTAGCAAATTAATTTTTCAGAGGATGGCTAGTGGCCTCACTGCTATCAAAGGCTGAGATACCCTATAAAGGCAGACTTTGGCTTGATAGGATATGGAAATCAAAATTAGGAAAAGAGAAATTAATCCAGAGCGAATGAGAAAATAGCACCCCCCCCCCAAAAAAAAGGGCAGTGAGCTAAGTGCTTATGAAGAGAAAGAGAAATCCTAGCAGCATGACAAGAGGCTGGAGCCTTGCAAAAAAGACGTACTATAGGAAAGTATTGCTGGAGAAGGAGCTGAAAGACCTTAACCTCTGTGTAATATTGAATTAAGTTGTGTTTAGTGATACAAAAACTTTTATCAAACCATACTGCCCACTCCTACACCACAATATCGAACTTACTAAGAGGACTCATCAAAACAATTTAAGGGGCTTTGCATGTAGCTCAGTGGTAAAGCCCTTGTCTCTTATGCTTAAGGTCCTGGTTGGAGCCCCAGAATCAAAAAAAAAAAAAAGGTTAAATTATTCTACACCAAATAACATTATGAGTAAGAACTAATTCTAATAAGTTTCCTTGAATTTCAGATCTCCAAGTTTTCAAATCCAAAAGTCTTACAAGTTCCAATAAAAATGTCAATGTTTCATTTATCTGAATACATATGTTAACAAATGTAACCATATTTACGTTGTTTTAACAAAAGTAATATTTCTATTATCTGCTCTTTTTCAAAGAATTTTATTACTGATGGTTTTTGGGTCTTTTGTCATCATTGTTGTTGTTGTTTTGTTTTTTTATGTGGTAATGGAGATCAAACCCAGGGGTACTGTACCATTGAGATACATGCCCAGCTCTTTTTGATACAAGCTCTCACTAAATTGCCCAGTCTGGCCTCGAACTTGTAATCCTCCTATCTCAGCCTCCTGAGTTGATGGAATTACTGGTATACATCATTGTGCCCAGTGCTACAGATGATTTTTAACTGACTGGAAAAAAAAAAAAGAAAAGAAAAGCAATTTAGAGTCCATTTATCTAAAGGCAAGCATTTTTAAAATCGTCTTTAGCCATGCATGGTAATGCATGACTGTAATCCCAGCTACTTGGGAGGCTGAGGCAGGAGAAACACAAACTGGAGGCCAGCCTGGACAACTTAGTGAGACCCTGTCTCAAAATAAAAATTAAAAAAAAAAAAAAAAAAGGACCCTGGATGTAGCTCAGTGTTAAGAGTGCTTCCTAGCATGGGTGAAATTCTGGGTTCAATCCCCAGCACCACAAAAAAGAAAAAAAAAAAATTAAAAGACAGATGTAATGTAATGTAATGCTTGCCCATATTGATTTTCTCCAAAATAAAGTTTATCCTTCAAAAAAAAGTAATAAAAGAAACTACTCATATTAACTAAAAAGTAATCCACCCTGTTGTGATATATGGGTTAATAATAAATAATCATTCATCAGAGGAAAATGAAATACATCAAAGAATGCTGGCCATTTCTTGCAAATATATATATATATATATATATATATATATATATATATTTTTTAGTTGTAGATGGACACAATACCTTTGTTTATTTTTATGTGGTGCAGGGGATCGAACCCAGTGCCTCCCACATGCTAGGCAAGTGCTCTACCACTGAGCCACAACCCCAGCCCCCCCAACCCATTTTTTAAAAAAAAGAGTACCTTGATCCTTTTGTGGTGATGGCTTTGATTTATCAGGTACAGAAGAATTTGAATAAACTACAGCACCAGGTACTGGTCCTAAAGAAAGTGTGTGATTTGAAACATCATTTAATGAAGACACAGCACCCCAGCTGGCAGAACCTGCATCCATGTCTCCAGGTGAGACTGCCTCAGAACTGCCAGGCTGATTCTGATAGGTTGACGGGTCTGAAGATTCAGCTTTGTCAACTATGGTCATTGTTCAACTCTGCAAAAGACGAAAAGCATACATCTCTTTCATAAGGTTCAAGAAAAGTAATCCATTTATCCTAACATTGTATCTTGGTAAAGTTTTCTAGCCATTTTAAATTATTTTCAAACAAATCACCCAAATATAAAAAGAACAGAATTTTATACCATGTTTGTAATAATTCCCTTGGGACATTCGGAATCATGCTAATACAAATATTTCAACAATTTTTACTTTAAAATCTTCAAGAATGCATTTAATTAGAACTTCCTATTCTATGCCCCATAACATTATATTTCAGCTTATAATCAGGTACCTCAATTTCCATTTCTATATTTTTACTAACTGCATGCTTTTTTCCTCACTATTGCTTAAAACTAGAAATACTATATAAAATACTAATACATTTGACTAAGTTTTCAATTCAAATAATTTCTCAGGGACAAGTATTGGCTACATGAAGAGTAAATCTAACTTTAATTTTTAGCTTAAAATCCACAATGACACTATATAAAATACACTGCTTTAAAAAATATATATATATATTTAAAAAATTTTTAAAGTGTATATATATATATATATATACATACATACACAAACATACTTTGTGTGTATGTGTATATATACATATATATACACACACATATATACTTTGAAACAAAACTGCTTTTCTGTAGTGGTTCATTATGACTTTTTAAACGAAACCTGTTAAGACTTTACTGATATCAAACCTGAATACAAATATGTGATACAAAAGTAATTATAATTTTTCTCTCTGAATCCTATTGTTAAAATCTACTAATTGAGCATTTTCTATATGCTAGGCATTGCACTGTATGCTGAACATATATTAACTTGCTTACTTTTCATAATGAACCTACAAAAGACCAGAGATTCTGGAGTCTATAAAATGAAGCAATTATAACAAACTAGTCAGCAACTGGGACTAGGAGCCAGGTCCAATAAACGCAGCTGGGCTTCCTTCTGGCTAAACCACCTAGGAACATAGCACTTTTAGGAACGTTCCCAAAATTGCTCAGGCAGCTAAATCCAGATATCTTACCCCCATGCAGAAAAAACTTCAGGGCCAGGAATGGTGGCACATGCCTATAATCCCATCAGCTCAGAGGCTGGGCAGGAGGATTCCAAGTTTGAGGCCAGCTTCAGCAACTCAGCAAGGGTCTAAGCAATTTGGCAAGACCCTATCTCAAGCCAGGCATGATGGCGCACACCTGTAATCCCAGCAACTCAGGGGGCTGAGGCAGGAGGATCACAAGCTCAAAGCCAGCCTCAGCAACTTAAGCTACACCCTGCGTAACTTAGCAAAACCTTGTCTCAAAAAATAAAAAAGGGCCGGGGATGTTGCTCAGTGGGTAAGCACCCCTGGGTTCAATCTCTGGTACCAAAAAAAGAAAAACCTTTCAGGAGTGCTGCAACTGCCCTTTCACAGCACCTTGTCCTAATACCTAGACTTGGCACTCTCTGACCTAGTAACACCTCAAGCACTCCCATGTCACATTCCCATCATACTGCCTGCTCCAGACTCTGTACATGCTCTTTTCTTTCATCTACTCTTTCCCATCCTACCACCTTCAGCCAGTGAACTTCTCAGATTAGAATTCATTTCTTCTGCAACACTTCCTTGACCATTCCTTTTTGCCCAAGACTGGGTTAGAAACCACTTCTAAAACATCCCCCAGCACCCCATGCTAATTTCTATGGTAGCACTTCAGCATTTACTCTACAGCCATTTTACTTATTGCTCTCTGTTATGTTCTTAATTATATCCCCTGACTGGTGTGGAGAAAGCTTCCATACAAGTCTTCAACAAATGAATGAAACTTGCATTTGTTTTTAGCACTCAGTTTGTCTTGTATGATTTATATACAACATCTCATTTAATACTTTAACAATTCCAAAGTAGGAACTGCCTTAAATTTTTGTTTTTAAAAAAATTCAGTAAAGGGGCTGGGGATGTGGCTCAAGCAGTAATGCGCTCGCCTGGCATGCATGGGGCGCTGGGTTCGATCCTCAGCACCACATAAAATAAAGATGTTGTGTCCACCAAAAAACTGAAAAAATAAATATTAAAAACAAATTCTTTCTCAAAAAAAAAATTCAGTAAAGTACAAAGCATTATGAAATATCCATGTATATACTTGCCACTTCAAATATTACCAGGCACTCGCTGTTCATGATAAGGTTGTTTGTAAAAAGGCTCAATTTTAGGACTGGAGTTGTAGCTCAGTGGTAGAGTGCTTACCCAGCACCTGTGAGGCAATGGATTCAATCCTCAGTACCACATGAAAAAATAAAGGCACATAAAAGAAAAAGGCTCACCAGGCGTGCAGTGGCACACGCCTATAATCCCAGCAAGCTTGGGAGGCTGAGGCAGGAGGATTGAGAATTCAAAGCCAGCCTCAGCAAAACCAAGGCACTATGCAACTCAGTGAGACCTTGTCTCTAAATAAAATACAAAATAGTACTAGGGATGTGGTTCAGTGTCCTACACTACCCTCTTAGTTCAATGCCCAGTACCCCCTCCCCGCCAAAAAAGCTCAATTTTGGTGGGGCATGCTGGCACACACCTATAAACCCAGTGATTAGAAGAGAACAGTTTGAGGCCAGCCTCAGCTACTTAAGTGAGGTCTTCAACAATTTACCAAGACTTTGTTTCAAAATAAAATATAAAAAGCACTGAGGACCAGGAGTAGCACATGCCGGTAATCCCAGCAATTGGAGAGGCTGAGGCAGGAGCATCACAAGTTCAAAGCCAGCCTCAGCAACTTAGCAAGGCCCTGTCTCTAAGTAAATAAATAGGGCTAGGGACATAGCTCAGTGGCAAAGCACCCCTGGAAAAAGGGGGGGGGGCTGCAGAAGTTGCTCTGTGGAACAGCACCCCAGGGCTCAATCTCCAGTACCAAAAAATAAAAATGTTCATTTTGTTGTTTATAATTTTTAATTAAGGCAAGATTATCATCCCCAAGAGGTACAACCTTAAAAGTTTTGGGATGCTTATGTAGCCAAAGAAAAACTGTTAATCAGATCTTAATAAGCTAAAATATATATATATATATATAAATTTTAAACAACCAAGGACACAAGATCTTCATTCAGAAAGGGTCTTTCAGAAGAAAGCTTGAGCCGATCATTTAAATAAAGTTTACACTTTCCACATCAAAAAAGCAAAAGAAATTATGAAAAGCTGTGGAGACAGGAATAGGAAAATAAAAAGAGGAGAAGGAAGTGGGTGAGGAAAGAAGAAAGCCAAAATCAAGTAATAAAAAAAAGGTTAACTCAGCCTTATTTACAACAATATCAAATAGCAGCAAAAACCTTGATTTTCCTGGGATAAATATCCCCTCCAATGATTAACAAATTGACCAAATAAAATCATTTTATTTGTTCCAGTAAAAGAAAAAAACACTCTTGGAAAAAATTTTAAGGAAAACACAAATCATTAATAACAATATTTCCATTTTAATTTTGTAAAAACAAACCAAACCCATCCACTCTTTATGTATATAGTCAGCCAATGAAACCTTACCCTAAAACCATCAGGTATCAAACTAAACTCCATCTGCTACAGAGACAACCTTTCTCCAAACCAAGCAATGTTAAGACTTAGGATTCATTTTCTTTATGCCCAGTAAAGCCTCTAAATATTACTGTTACAAATACCAACACTTTGAAGTAACAACTTCAATGAAAAGTTTAACACCTTCTAATGATATACAAAGTTATAAGAGCATGTTTTAAACAAACAAACAAAACAAAACAAAACAGGAACATGAAACAAAGTTGGATTGCATATGAAAGAATGAGACAACTTCACAAATGTTTCCTCTGCTTTTTTAAGTGCCATCGTTTACTCAAAAGCCTTAGAATTCCCAAGTCCTTTACATGGTATGTCTCCCTCGTAGTGACCAAATGCTAGATGTTACTTTTTTTTTAATTTTTAAAGAATATCAGTATTTAAATTATGTGGCATTCCACATACACTGAAGTAATAACATCGACACATTTAAAAACAAACTGTTACACTCTATTTCAAAAACAATGTAATCCAGGTTCTTCTAGCATTTCCGTTTTAAGTCACACACACACACACACACACACACACACACACACACACAGAAGCTTCAAAAACAAAACTTTTGATTTTAATTATATTTAAGTGAACAAAACGATTAACCTTAAACCTTTACAAACCAAATACTTACTGTCGCCTTGATTCAATGATATAGAAAAGAAAGTGAAACTGACCCTAAGTAAAAAACAAACAAGTGAAACTGATTATTCATAGACCCTATGCACTTTGAATGAGTAACACAATAAAAAGAAAATTGTGTTTAAAAAATACAAATCTTCGAAAAAAATTTAGGCTCCAAGGACATGTATCAGAACCTGTAAAATGGTTGTTACTTTGAAAAGGAGGCGTTAACTAAATAGTTTTCCAACCACTTTTACTGTTACTTGAGTGTATTTACTTGAAATAACCAACATGTTTTCCCATAAACAAGTAAGCCCTGAGGCCTTCGCGAGTATAAAAGAGCTATTCAATGAAAGTAATCTCAACGGTATTCATTATAGAAAGGTTAAAGTCCTAGATTGTAAAACTTCTGTCCGGTCAAATTTTCCTTTCAAACATCAGAAACGGACCCCCTCATCCCCGCCTTCTCCAGGTAAGTTGGCTCTTCCTGCCCCAGAGATAAAGACCCAGAGAGAGGCACACACGCTTTGGGGGACGCGCCACCCGGCTCCTCCTCTCCCGCGGCCAGCTGCCCGCCCGCCTCCCC